TAATCTAGCCCCCCCCCCCAATGGTCGTGTGGATTCGTTTGAAAATATATTATGTGTATATTATTTATATCGTTGTATATTTTACATCAATAACAGCTAGGAGGTTCTTTCAACATTTTATTTTGTGGTATTGAAGTTTGCACAACTGTCGTTTTGTTTGCCGACACTTTTGAAGTAATAATGCAAGAATTTACATTTACTTGACAAGTCCAAGGTTGTTTTATTTACGAGCTCGAAAATAGTTGAACGGAGCAAGGCGAAAAAATACGTACAGGGTGGAAATATCTCTATTTGGACTTTTTGTGACTATTCTTTTATGATCAATAATTCGGCCAATTTCAATTGATTTTCGAAAAATATTGAACCCCATCTCTTGTGTGTTAAACACACATTATAAACTTAAGAATGTTAAACGGTTAGACGTGTATGCTCTATTCAATTTTATAAAGAATAAAATTTACTGAACATTTTGGCTGGTCGATAACCACTTTTGAATAATCACAAGTTATTTAAGTTTTTCAATAATCATAAGTTATTTGAGTTTAAATGACTCAATTTTTGCTTATTTTATGGTATTGGGTTTTATGAGGATGTTTTATTTTTAGCTGATTTTGGAATTGTAGCGTTTTAACAAGATTGTTTTGGATTATTTTATTGGATTGCATTTTATGGGATATTTATAAAGCGTTCTTTTTTGTATAAGTTTAATTATTCGTTTATGTGGGTTTTAGTTTTTTTTTAGGTATATATTATGTTATTTGTTTCAGTGGTCATTTCTTGTGTTTCAGTCGTCTTCTGGCAATACAGGCGGTGCCTCAGCTCTGGTTCTAAGGGTATGTATATTTTTTTAACTTAATTGTTCTTGTTTTATTTGCGTTAATAATCGTTTTTTTTTTTATTCATTTCAAGGTTAATTAATATATTTATTTTTATTTTTATTACTGTCTTAGCCTCTATTGTTAACGGCATCATCTTTAGCCTGAGCGGAAATGAACACCTATGGACACCGGTAGTTAGTCATTTGGTTCAGAGCGTATGTATAATTTTGTTCACCAATTCTCAGTTTTTTCTCTTTTTTTTTTATCTGTTTCCACAACATTGCCTAAGTTAGGTCAGGTTGAGTTATGAATTTTTAGCATAAGTTTGTGTTGATTAGTTTGAGCCATTCACTATACTTGGCCGGGCCCAAATATCGTTTGAAAATGACTTTTGGTTCTCATCTGTAAGTATTATATATTTTGGAACATAAAATAAACATTAAGACGGCAAGAAGAGTGGGATGTATTATTATTTTTATCTCTACTGCTCTAACCTAACCTAAACTGCGCATTACTCTACTGCACTCCACCTTCAGTTTTAAACTTAAACAACTTTTACAATATCATAAAATACATTATCGTGAAGGTAAATTATTTAAAATAATTAGTTGTCCTTACTCTGTAGACACTCACTTAGTTTAGGACTAAGATTATCGCGTTTCAACAGCAATGCAATATTAAGGCGGGTACATTTTTACTCATTTTTACATTTTTACATGTCGCGACACGGCTGGTTGTTTTTGAGTTGTATTTGTGTTTTACAGTCACATCTGAACCCTGTCAAGGTTTTTTTGTTGTACAACGAAAAGTCGGATTCTAATTTTCCAATATCTATCTGTCTCTATTTTGAATCCCAAGACATTATTATATTCCACCCAAGACTGCCGAAACATAATTTAATAATACCGCGAAAGCTTTGTCGTTTGCAATATATGTCCCACGAATGCCTCTCCAAGTTTACGCCCAGTTATTGGTAGAGAAGCACACAGAGGGGAGGAAACGGTTTCCAAAGCGTACTACACAACAATCGGACGGGTTGACGCTTGCACACATCAAAGAGCAAAAGTGTCCCTATTGATCTGCGTTTATTGCACACACACAAAGTTTACCACCCCTTGCCTTGTGCGCGCAATGTACACACTCAATTTCCCTTTGTGCCGGTATATATTAAATTCGTCTTTGCAGCAGCACACAGTTCAAACAATACAAATCAAACGATTCCGCTTGGTAGGAATCGAGTTTGTGGCCAGATCTGGTGACAGGTTGATTGAAATGCACAATCCAAATAATACTGTAGTAATTCGATGAATTCTAGTTACTCGGATCGTTTCAAACAATTCCGTTTGATGGGAGTTTCTCGTTAAACAATGTCGTTGGGCAATGTCGCCCAACAACAAAACAGCAGACAACTATTTGGAAACGATTTGCCAAATCAATGTCTGCGGCGAGGCAGCAGAGGATTTGTACAAATCTATACGCTTCCACCGCTAAATCCAGTAAATTGCCATTAGTTTCTAGCCAGAAGTGTCCATTGTATTACTTTGGATAAATACACATGCATTTAAAGTTTTGTTAAAGATTAAAAAAAAAAGAAAATGTATCTATAATTTAAATAATTTGCCAAATCAATGTCGGCGAGCCAGCAGGATTTGTACAAATCTATATGCTTCTACCGCTAAATCCAGTAAATTTGATCTAGGACACTTTTATCAAAAATATGCTTATTTTGTTATGTTTGTTATACATAAGGTACAGAGAGTGTAATTTTGAGTTCGTTAGTTCAGCAAAAAAATGCACACACTTTTGAAAGTGGATTTTATTTAAAAATTAATTACGGGTGACAGCCGACGTGACGGGTGGAGAAGAGAATAGCTGATTAAACATCACAGAGGCAAATGCGAAATGCAATTACAGTGTATGGACTTTGATGCTTTAATACACTTAGCGAGGGGAAAATTGAAGTACTCAGGAATAATGTATGGAGGGTAACGAAATTATGTTAATACACAATGGAGATATTTCCACAACCTTATAAAAAATGTTTTTAAATAGTACTTTTTATGCATATATTGTTTAAACAAAAATTGCATTATTAACAAAAGCTATCTATTTAGATAACTCTTTTTTCGAATGCATTCATTTTGTAAACAGACTTGAAAACAAGACAATTGTTTAACTGTGAAAGGGCTATTATTATTATACACAATAATTGGAATAACGACTTTTTCACATAGATCAAAAACCCTATTGGAGGGTATAACCTAAAACCCATCCCTTAACAGAGTTGTCAGGTGTTTTTCATTTATTTAAGTTTTCAGAGCAATGCCATAATATGAATTATAATTACAAATTAACTAGTGGAGTGTGGTGGTTGATGGTGCATTTTGTTGACAGTGGTGTGCAAATAGTTTTTATTTTTAAATATAAAAATATTAGTTATTATTTTTTTTCCCTTAAGACATACATTTGGGGTCGATGGCGTTAGGTTCTTCAGTCTGAAACTCTGTCAACAAACACAGGATTGCCAATTTAAAACGACTAAGCAGCAGGACACTTGGTTGATTTTGGTAAATCTTCTGTACAAGGGCTTTTTTTTGTTGACAACTTTTTAGAAAATCCTTCAGCGTGAAACTAGGGGTGGGTTTAAAATCTGCGTTGGCAAAATGTAGTGACAAAATATTATGGATGTGTTTTCGCAGCTATATAAAATATATACTCTATTAGAATAGTCTATACAGGGTGGGCCACTCAATATCTCACCGGGCTTAATTATTAATTACATTTTTATTTTTATATAATGTTTTTCAATTTTCCACAAGTTTTTTTGTTCCTACCACCCACTAAACTAATCATTGTTTTACCAACTTTTAAAACTTAAATGGTTATTGACAACAATGTACCAAAAACGTTGACTGGTCGACGACCAGATTTGAACAACTACTTAAGATTATAAAAGTTTAAAAGTTAGATTGAAACTTAAGTAACTGGTCCTCGGCCAGTCAACATTTTTAGTACGTTATTCTCGATTTAAAAAGTCGATGAAATGTATGCGCTACCGTTTGAGTTTCAAAAGTTGGTATGAGAATAATTAGTTTGATAGATGGGGTAGGAACATAGAAATTCTAGTTATCTGTTCAAAAATCTTAACTAGTACCTTTGATTGAACTAAAAAGTAAAAAATTAAACTAAAAAAAACCCATTTTTGAAACATGCTTTCCTAAAAAACAGTGAAACAGTGAACTATAAGGCAAAAAATAATTTCACTACAAGAACAATTTACCAATAAAATGTTGCACATTTTTATTTTAAAAATGTCAATTACTTTGAAAACAACCGAAAATTAACTAAAATTTTTAAATATTGATAAACATTTTTAATTTTTGGCTAAAAATAATTGCGTGGGCACTATTCAACAAAGTCCAAATTCATTGAGTCAATTATTATTAGGAAATACATGTGTCACACACTGAAATTGAACCAAATTTAAATTACAAAAAAACTTACAATGTAAAACATTTAGTGAAATTTTATCCGATAAATTTGTTAGGCCACCTTAGTTGAATAGGGCCGCCCACGCTTTTCTTTTTTGGTAAAAAATCAAGCAAGTAATATTGTTGTTGTGGTAAAATTATTTTTTTTCTTTTTTTGTAGTTGATTTCTCGAATGTATTCTCTCAATCGTTTTGGTCGAAAGTAGTTTTCGACGATAATATTATTGTCGTGTATTGATTGCCGTATAGGGGGTGGGCAGTGCCGTTATCAATTGGGGTGAACGACTTTTGAACGGCGATGATCGAAAATGGGGGGGGGGGGGGGTGGGTCGGGGTGGGCCTCGTGTACCGAAAAACAAAATTGATACGCTTTGTTCGTTTTTTTTTTATTTTCCCTTTTGGCAGCGTCGCCGAATAACAATTATTGCACACAAACGAGAGAGCCGGTGTGCGCTGTGTGTTTTATCGACGCTCTCCCCGGGGGATGCGGCGGCCACCGCCGACGGGATGGAACGGGAAGAGCAGGATTTTTGGGGTAACAAAAAAAAAAAAAAAAAAAACCAGGCAGTGTCGCGGCGGCGGCGGCGGCGGCGCTGGTGCACAAAAGGGTGTCGATAACTCGGGCCGGGCGACCGCCGTAACCAAGGCAACGACGCTGCCACCCTCCGCCGTCGCACCATCTGTCATCCCTTTTCGGAAATCACGGATTTTCTGATTACACACCGCCGAGAGAGTGTGTCTCTCTCGCTCGCCGCTCTCCCTCCGTCTCTCCCGCCACACGTTTTATTATACATTCGGGTTCCAATGGGCACCGCGGAACGTCCCGAAATATCACCGTAGACCACACGATAATATCGATAGCAGTTTATTATTATTACACGCCACACAAACCGTCGGAAGACTTCGTCCAAAAGCGGCTCGCCGAACGACCGAATTGCAGAGGAGTCGTCGACGTCACACGCGTAGATGACCGCGACTTTTCACCATTGATTCCGCACACAACGGTACAAGTTTTTCCGGGAAAACCGCCGCCGCCGCCGCCGCCAAATCCGAGATACAACAGCCGAGACAGCCGTAAGTACATAATATACCTTGTTCGTTGTTGAATCCACTGTTGTAAACCACAGCAGCCAGGGAAACAAACGCTTAGAGTTTATATTGTTTCCCGGTTTATCTTGGCCGTTGTGTGTTTTTTTTTTGATTAAACCGAATATCAGCACGACGACAGTGAAAAAGTACCACTTTCTCATTGAAATATATGTAAAAAAAAATAGACGGTACTTTCTTAGAATAAAACGATAACTTTATCGTCGAAAACCATTCGAACGCGCGAGTACTTATCGAATGATTTATGTAATAATATGATAAAACAATATGATCAAACGACAATATGTGACAACGTAATAACAATATGATTAAACAAAAATATATTATGACAACGTAATAACAGTATGATTAAACAGCAATATATTATGATAACGTAATAACAATATGATTAAACAACAATATGTGACAACGTAATGACAATATGATAAAAACAGCCAAAACATTATGACTGAAAACGTAGTATGGTTCGGTGATAGTGTTGGCTGTGGTTTTTTAAAAGATAAGTTTGACCGTATTATTAGTGCATTGAGAAAATATGAATAAAAGAAACGGTAGACAGAGTAAAGTTTAGATGTAGTACCTAAGAAAAATTTCAGATTTAATGATTTGTACTCTCTGTAGAAATTCAATTATACTCTTTTAGTATCTCTATCTGAGTTTAACACTTCACACATATCTATACGCCAGTGTTGAGGTGATTTGCTGACAAAATGATTGTGTTTTTCATAACATTATTGATCCAAATATAAGTACAGATACCTATTTCTATCTCTAATTGCTAGGTTTCGTTGAATATTCGCACTAGACAAACATAATGTTAGCCTGGAGTAACATGGTAGGTTAGGTTTTGAATAACATTTTTGTAACAATGCAGCCGCAGAGATTTTTAACATTATTGTTTAATATTTGCTTGCTGCCTGGGTATAACCCAAAATAAACTACAATAGTTTTGCTGAAATACTTTATGCCAATTATTAAAAACACTGTACTACAATTGGGGTTCTTTTTTATTGGAAAGTGACACAAATCGAGTGGCGTTATCATGATGATATCGTTTAATAGATTTCCAAGGTTACCTTAAGTGCCATCAATAGTTTGAAGGACTACGCGTGTAAATCAATTAAACGGATTCAACATTTCTCAATCATTACATTGGCTACTTTTTAAATAATTATGCAGCAATCGCGAGATATTAGTTTTTGTGGGACAATAATAAACGCTATGGTAAAAAACTGGTTTAGAACACACTCGAATTATTCCTCGAGTATACAGTAGTTTGTGTCCGTGTGTTGCTGCTTAAACGAGCAATTGTCGATTTGCTTTTAGGTACCATGGATTTCACCGCTGGGTCGTTGGAAACCAATGCGACATACTTTGCTTGTGAATCAAACCAAGTGCCCGGCCGCCGGACTCCCCTGAGCGCGGTCGGACTAGGCGGGTATTACTATCCTCAGCCGCCGTCGTCCGTGGCTTCGGACGAGAACAGCCCGGGACCGGCCTGCCAACAGTTCAATCACGGATCCAACAATGACAACAGGTTAGAGATAAGATTCCAAACCATCATGTTTTGATTGCTTCTCAGGCACGTTCCCCCTCGGAGGGACGAAAGAAATCTCCTCCTTCTCCTTTATCTTCGCCTTACACTCCCACAACTACATGGGGTCGGCCACCATAGTCCTACACAGCTCCATAGAGCTCGGTCTTCTACAACTCGTTCAATCACCCCAGCTATCCTCGTATCATTCTGTATTCCGTCTCTATATCTTTTCTTTGGTCTTCCTCTTTTTCTCTCTACATAACACCCCTCACTGCCTCTGGCTCATCTCTTCTCATAACATCTCAAACTATTCTCTCTCATTTTCCACACAACTGATGCAACTCTTTTGATTCCCCTTGTACAATCATTTCTTATTCTATCTTCCCCTGTAACTCCACTCATCCATCCTAGCATTGTCACCTATCCTAACCCAGACAGAGTAAATCTATCGTTTCTCGTTTCGTTGTTTTGCAGAATGCCCAGTCTCGGACAGGGGACCTCGGCGGCGATGGCGTCGTCGGCGTCCGGCAAGTCCAAGTCCAAGCAAGGCAAGTCGGTCCGGTTGAACATCAACGCCCGGGAGAGGAGAAGGATGCACGACCTGAACGACGCCCTCGATGAACTGAGAAGCGTCATACCCTACGCTCATTCGCCGTCGGTGCGCAAACTGTCGAAAATCGCCACGCTGCTGTTGGCCAAAAACTACATACTAATGCAGGCCAACGCCCTGGAGGAACTCAGAAGACTGATCACTTACATACAGGTAATTGCAACAATATTATTGGCCGGGAGAGAGAGAGGCAGAGGCAGTGAGAAGAGTTATGTAGAGAGCAAAAGAGGAAGACCAAAGACAAGATATAGAGACGGAATACAGAGTGATATGAGGAGGATAGCCGGTGAGCGATTGAACGAGATGTTGAAGACCGAGATCTATGAAGTGTGTAGGACTAGGGTTGCCGACCCCGTGTAGTTGTGGGAGTGTAAGGCCAAGATAAGAAGAAGATTTGGCCGGGTCATTGTTGGTGTATTAATTTTGCCATCTTTTGTGCGTTTAGGCTCAAGGAACCATGTCGATGCCACCGGGTTTCGACTTGCAAGCGTCCATGTATCCCATCAAACCTTCGTTGCAATCGCCAAACGCATCACCCGACTCGCCGGCGCAGTCCTAACCTCCTGGAAAACCACTCTTCAAAAACTCTACAAAAAAAAAATTAATTTTATATTATATTAAAAAACCCATACTATGGATCTAGTCAATGGTATTATTATTATGATAATTTCTAACGTTTTTATTTTTTATTGTATAGCAATATTTTGATTTTTTTTTTTTTTTTAATCTTTTCCTCGACTTATACAGCACGCACATTTTTCTCACTCAACTTGTTTGTCGCTTTTTCACCAACTTATTATTATTATTATTATTGTAAACGACAACGTGTACTACATTATAAAGCGCGCGCGATAGAATCTTATTTAGTTTATAGGTAGAAAACAATCTAGTCATAATATTTAATATGATACTCATTATACTATGGTTATCCTAAATTAACATATATATTATTATATTTAATACAATTATATTGAACAATTTTTTTTTTAACAAGTAAATAATTTGTTTTTTTTATTTTTATTGTTTACATTTAATATATATATATATTTTTTAAATGTAATTCCCACGAATATAAGTCTAATATATTCATATATGCTGACACACAGCAAATGTAAAACAATAGCGTAATGAGAATAACACTTATTTGTTAACAAAACGATGACATGAAATAAGTACAACAAAAAACTGAATTTTTTTTTTTGCTTATTTTGCAAACCTAATTTCGAAAAACCAGTTTTCGGCTCGTAGCAGTATTAAATAACGATGAATTACCATACAATTGTATACACTGTTGAGAAGTCCCAGTCCAACGTTTCAAAGCCTTGGTACACTTTTTTTTTTTAACACTACTAACCCACTGAATTATTAGTTTTATGATAAAAAATTAAAGTTAGCGATGTACGATTCGATGGAATAGATAAAATAAAATCAAAAGTATTCAGTACACAATAAACGATGGGAACATAATAAGAATAATAATTTCAACCTCAACTAGTGTATAAATAAAAACAATTTCCATCCAGAATTGGATTTTTTTTACTATCTGCTGCTAAAAAATAGAAAAATTAAACAAATTAAAAAATTGAAAAATTGATCAAAACATACTATGACAGTTTTAGTGACCATAGGCGCAATTTCAGTAAAACAGTTTGAGGGTGCTTAAGCTTTGCGTTTTCAAAGTATTTTTTAATTTTAATTAATGAGGTTAACGGTTTTATGTGGGCAAAGATGCGTTGTACATTGATTTAACATTTAACACTTTAATTTGTGTAGCGTTTTAATTGTATAACAAACAAGTTATAAGAGTACACTTCATGCAGATACATCAATAAATGGATATGTCCCCTGTAATATAGTATCTCTAATATCTTATCTCTAATCCAGTTTACAGGTATTTCATACAAGAGTTATGCGCTTTGCTTGTTCTGTAAACGTGTCAATAACTATGTTTATGTGTCAGTATTAAATTTGTCATATCTCTTTCTATACATAATATTATTGGCAAACCGTGTTTCAATAACAATATGATAATATTATTATCTTAATCATGTACAGTGCACGGTTTGTGTGGTGTTCTGGACATTTTCATAGTTGTTATTGTATTTCTAGTTTACAAAATATATATACAGGGTGATCCAACTGATGTGAGATACTCATTTTCTTGGAAATTATTAATATTGTTTTTTTCCTCTTCCTTACGATTTATATTTTACTTTAGTTTTCGAGACTGTGAACATTTTTAACTTCATCCCTTAAACGATTAGTGACTTCATTTTTCCAATTAATGGGATCAAATATTTTTAACTCAATGTATATGTGTGTTGTATAAAACTAAATTATTTTACTATTTTTGTTTGAATTTTTAATTTTCATCAATGGGTTCTGTTACGTTGTACATATCTTTTTTTTTTTTATATTATATGGAGATGTAGAAGAAGGGAACAATTATTATTATTTAATGGCAAATAGAAGTGCTACTAGTTTTAGTAACCTAACCTATCCTAACTGGAACCCAACAAATATTGAAAACTTTATAAAGTCATGGCAAACGAACATGTAGCAATTGAAAGATTACAAATTCAAACGGTACATTTTTTTTAAAATTTTTTGTCTACAAATTTATGTAATTAAAAACATATGTTGCCGTTTAAAAAACCCAAAATCCCCTTTTTTGGCTTATAAGGATTGGTGATAAAAATTCTCAAAATATTCATATTTTCCGAGAAAATGAGTGTCTCGCACCAGTTGGATCACCCTGTATAATACATATACTATTGATATTAAATAATGTTTTAACGTTATCAAAATGAATCCATTGAAAGCGTGTGTGCATTGTAATTTTTATATCTAGGTCGAATATTGACATATAATATAATATTATAACAACTGCGCTGTGGGGTCATATTTTGTACCGGTTAGAGGTGCACAGACAAAAGATCAGAGGCCTTGGTGGTGTCAAAACGCTTTGGGATGTTAGAAACCGTCGTTTCGATAGTAATAATAATAAATAATAATTATTATTATATTCAATAACAAGCTGATAACATCACACTGTGGTAACAATAATAATAATAATATTATTATTATTATTATATTGAAGATTGCCTCCCTACAGGACAGCCCAATGAGACATCCTTGAACGTCAGACAATAATAATAAACTGGCAGACTAGGGGAAAATTGTTTGAGTTTTTCTTTGGGCAATAGTACAAAAACCAAAGGGCATGGTTATTTTTCTTATTTACAAGCATAAGACTACACTGTGGCATATACCTAATTATTATTATTGTTAAAAAAAAAAAGTCCAAAGATCCAATAACAACAAATATTTTTACATGCCTTTTCAGGTCAATCACAGCCGTACAATGACTTTTGATTATTGTATTATTTTCACATTAGCTAATGAGAAAAATGTTAATTTACAAAAAACAAAAATGTATTCAGTGTGTAACGGTTGTTGATGAAATCGTATATACCTAATAATAATAATATACTTGCTCTCTTTGTGGGTTGTATTTTTTTTTCGCTTGTAAATAATTCAACTAGTCGGACCAGTTTACTCATAAATTGTGGTGTAGAGTTTAATTGATTTTTTTCACCTACCCGGGAACAAGCTCTATACAAAAAAAAAATATATAGATTCCAATCAATCTACATGTTACCAAACGTCGACCACATTCGTCATCATCATTCATAGTGTTATTATAATGAAGAGCAAATAAATATACACATATAGAGAAAATTTCCTTCAGATATTGCTTTCTATGTGTTGCATGTATTAAAATATATTATTATCTTTGTTTGGAAAAGAGAAAGTACTTGTTACTTGTTCGATTACCACTTGCCTGTATGATATTCACATTAATAATAATACTTATATATTATTTAGATGATTTTACTATCATATAGTTGATGGAGCTCTGAAAAATGCTCAAAAGGAAATATTGTTATATTTTTTACTGATGTGTCCACAGTGTAAAACAGTTATGATGTTAAACATGTATTTTTTTTTTTTGTTGTAATAATCACTGGCCGTTACAGCTGTTAATAACAATTATTTTATTATTTTACTCAAAAGTAAATGAACAATAACAATTGAATTGAGTTATGTACAAAAATCGGATAGTGCCCAACCGACAGGTGGTTTTGATAATAAACGATAATTAACTTGTCCAAAATTTCAAAGTTAATTAATTAACATTATTAGTTTAATGTACATCAGGTGGTGGTCGTCTGGCCCGTTAACGAGCATATAATATCGTTTAATCCGCCAAGGCACAACCGTATCAGTCATGACCATCTAATCTGGTTAATGTCAATCAAGTAATTGGACACAGTGTATTTTGCTCATTTCGTTGTATCTTCAATATTATTGTGGTTTTTTTTTTCAATAGCATAGAACAAGTTTTGAGTGCACTTTTTTTTCTATTTTTACTTGATGCAGGTACATCAATGATACATGGATATGTCCTACAATCTAGTATCTCTATTCATTCGCCTCCATAAAAGACATCTATTATCTCTAATTTGTATAATCGCGTTCTCATTTGCTCCGTTATAACTTATTTATTTATTTAGTATATACCTAAAAGTCCACCGGTACATCAACGAGGACAAGTCAGTTTGTAATAATTCTACAAACGTTTCCAAGTTTAGCATTAGGTTAGGTTAGGTTAGGTTAGGTTTGGTTAGGTTTGGTTAAGTTACGTTAGGTTACGTTAGGTTAGGTTAAGTTAGGTGTAGGTTAAGTTAGGTTAGGTTAAGACCTCTATAATTAGGACAATAAACAGGGGACCCACCTGTGTTTTTTTTTTCTTTGAATAACTATTTTTTTTCAGCCACTCTCTTCTTGTAACATGACCAAAAACGTTGAGGAATTTGACGCTGTATTTGTATGGAAGGTTAGGTAAGGTTAGGTTAGCTTGGCTTTCTATGACATTCGGTTGTCCTTGATGCTTTTGATCTGTACGCAAAGGATTCACAGAATAATTTTTCTATGCGTTATCCATTAATAACGTTACGCGTTTAAAAATAATATACTTAACTTAACGTTTTTTTTTTATGAGTGAAAAAATTAAAAATATTATCCGTTTGCTTGATGACGAACGGCGCAACAAACATAATGTTTAACACTTTATGTGAATTAATAATCATGGCACCTCGTTGCAATTCATTTTTACTGTTATGTGCACTCTAAGTGAGTACTCTCTCCAAACTGCTGGCGAGTATTCAGAAACTTTAAATAATATAAATATATGCGTTTTAATTTTAATGTCATTTAGAGTTGACCAAAAAAGTCGAGGTTAGACTAGTCAAAGTGTGATGACACTTTTTGATCGCACTAAAAAATAACATATAAGACATAAATCAATTTTTAGCTGAGAAGGTATTGTGTTTACAATGATGTGTTTTTATTTTTGTGTCTGGACCCACGATTTCTTCGTGTAGCAACTTTATAGATCAGAAATCATACCTGGAAGGTACTTTATTGGGCTAAAAATTAAAAAAAAGTCACCCCTTCCCCATCAAAATCGAGAAAAACACCCAAAAAATTACTCTTTTTTTAAAAAAAGTCGAAAAAGTTCCAAATTTTTATGAATTGTTCTTCAAACATAGTACTGTCGATAAACGTTAACAAACCAAAAAAAAATATCATACATATCAAGCCTGTAATTAATGTATAAGCCAATATTAACTAATGATGAGCATTTTTTTTCTTTTACTCCGTTAGATCTTTTAAACTTTTTGTGTTTTTTGCCACCGGCGACCACGTGCTGACCACGTAATATAGGTTTGTATTGAAAACTTGCGCCTAATATAGTATGTAAGAGAGTAGTGGGCAAGGCATGCACACACACACATCAAACGGGATCCGCTTCGGATGTATCAATCGATAAAAATAATACTCAAACAAACACGTCTCGAGACGAAGAAGAAGAGAAAAAAATAGTTCAGACACTGTTTTAACGACCGTATAAAAAAAATAAAACTGTCGGGTTCACACAGCGCACTTCAATGCAACAGGAAATTCGAAACGGCTACATAAAAATAACTATTAAAAAAAAAACGTTTTAATATTATATTTTCAAGTTCCGGATAACATACAACAGCAGTGGTCAAATAAAAAATTACTAACCACGACAGTAGAGACCAGTTCTCGCGCTTTTCTTGAACACTAGCAAGTCGGTTTACTTGCTCAAAGCGCACTTGTATTACCGGTCTGAAATATATGGACTAAATCTAATAAACATACATAATTTGTACATAATTATTAAAAAAAATTCAACCCTGTTACATTAGTAATAGCTCTAATAAAAATGTATACCTAGACACCTCCCTGGGGGAAAAAATGCAATACACAAGACAAAATTGTATTGTATCAAATAAACAACAAATAATTACATTTTTACTTATAATGAAACCACTCATTTAACAATACAAATGCGTCTTGCAGGTTTTACGTGACTTTACAATAAAACTTTCAAAAATATTTTTATTTAAATTATAATGGGCCTCAGCAGTCGGCACCAACATTGGACATTATGAAAATTATTCTAAAGGTAGTCCTAGTAATTGTACAATACCACATATAAAAATGTTTTCACAAATAATAATATTAAAAAAAAGTTAAGAGTATCCACACTTGATGCAAATACATCAATACACGGATATGTCCTGCAAATTAGTATCTCTAATCTGTTATCGCCAATCCACTACCATTATTAATTTACCTCCATAATCATCTTCCATACTCTTCCATAATTCCTCGATACTCCTCCATAATCCATAAGCCATAACACAAATCCATGGTAAAAATAATTTTATAATTTAATTAAATTTAGTTTTGTTATAATAATAAAAATATAATATAAAGAATATAATCTAATATTGTGAGTAATAATCTTTAATTTACAATTATATAAAATATTATATTGTAAACATTTACTAACATAAGTAAGTTGTTAGTGGTCAGCATCGAAGGAGGGGATGGGGGTGGGGGTGGTTTAGATTGAGAGTTAAAAAGAGTAAAAAATATAATAGAATATAGAAATTATGGACAACGGGGTAAGTACAAAAAAAAAAAAAAATTGGAAAACCTCCCAACATTTTTTTTCAAAATAACAGTTTAGTAGATAATGTTTTTTTTCTATCATTAATATTATACTGTAAACGTTTTCGACCAATACATACTACGTGTGCCTATTAATAGTGTCGTACGCAGATTTACTAAACGGGCCGCTGTGCCAAGTGTCATCGCGTTTTGTATTATTAATGTTGTTATTGGTTCTGGGAGTAACTTACCTACCTAGTGTGTAATAAAGGTGACACTTGAACAAATAGCAGCACAACATTTTACCAGGTTTGTCCATTATTTGTGTACACACGCTCCCCTAACCCGCCTCCCCATTTTAAATCCGAGCACAACAATAATCGCCACACGGTGGCTACTATAAGTTTGGTCAAAGTAATCCTGAGATGACCCGACTAACTCCAAATCTGTATTGAATAAAGTACATGTTATACTACTGTTGAAAACGTTGACAAACCAACAAAACATACCAGAAGGGCTGGACACTTTTCCTTTGTTTTTATTTTTTTTCAAATAAACTCTTAGGACTGAAAATTATTCTCAAGGTAGTTCTAGTTATAATTATTATACAGTACCACAAATTACATTGTTTTCAAAAAGAATATTATTTAAAAAAAGTTAAGAGTATCCACACTTGATGCAGATACATCAATACATGGATATGTCCTGCAATCTAGTATCTCTAATATCTGTTATCTCCAATCCACTATCTCTATTAATTCACCTCCATAATCCTCCTCCTTACTCATCCATAATTCCTTAATACTCTTCCATAATTCCTTAATACTCCTCCAAAATCCCTCTATACTCATCCATAACTCCTTAATACTCCTCCGTAGTCTTCCTTACTCCTCCAAAATTCCTCAACACTCCTACTCTGTGACACTTAACAAAATTGTCAAAATTGTAAGTATTTTCCAAGATAATGTGAGTTTTTTATTGTGTATTTTTTATCCATATGTTTGCTATCCATACAACATGCCGTCAGAAACTAGCTGACCGCCTAGGTAACTGCTCAGCCTAACCAGATGTATAATAACGACATTAATAACGATTAAAGTATCATCGACAGCCGTAAATATCACACTTGTGTGTGTGTTTCCTATCTGCGTCATAACACAACACAAAGAGTGTAAAAAAATACACCCATAATTTAATCGTTCGGTGACTATAATAAATATGCAATAGTCGGTCGTTGCTGGTGAACAGCTTATTTTTTTTTTTTTATTCGATTCAAAAAAATATTATAATTAATCGACTGCCAAGAACCTAACCTAACTTGACCGGTCGACTTTTGAGTAGATATAACTGGTTTTTTTTTTATAAAAAAAAAAAAAAACTAATTTTATCACCAATTATCGGATTACATAACTAAACATTGTAGAAATTTGTCAAAAAATATCAAAGCAAGGAATTCGACACCAGCAACTCTGCTAAGATGGCAAGTATGAGTTCAATGTGAAAATAACACAGTTTTGCTAGGCCCAAACCGTGTGAGAAACAGGTAAATATTATTTTGTCTGCAAAACAATATTTTGCTCTAATGTCTAATAAATCATTATCTAATGAACATGTTCATCGGGGAAACGTGAGTCAAGGCCTTCTCGTTGGGCTATTTATAGTGTACATATATACAAATATTATTGTTTATACAATATAATATGTGTTTTTTTATTCAAATTACCCAACGCGCTGCTTGCGACATATCAGATAATGATAATTATAATATTTTTATTGCTTTTATTATACAAAACGGCTAGTTGTCCAAGTCAAAGAAGTTTACCTACACTTGCCGGTGACGTACGAACAGAACTTGTAAGCAAAATTCGAAGAACTCGTTAAAAATTAAAATACATATAATTTATAACAGCTCAAGTACCTACTTGGATAGGAAAAATAAAACAGAAATTTACATATAACCGGCCCGGTTAGGCAACTCTCGAAGGGTTTCGAGTACTTTGGATCATTTATGATGTGTACCAATAATATATAACGGTTTGGCCTAACCTAACCGACACAGTAAACGATGGGATATATTGAACAAACGCCATAAATAATAACGCCGGGCAACTCGAACGTTCATTGTGTGTGCTTAACTAATCGGTAATGTATTTACCGGTCACTTTAGACGACGTTTAATAGCTTTATGCCGGGTTTATTGCATTCGAACGGCCCGTTAAATTAATTAGTTCGGTTATTTGTCCGTTTGTCGTAAATCGTACAAACACAACCGAAATGGTTGAAAAATCCTCCCCCTTTACCCGCCAAGACGGAGAAACCACCCTAAAAAATTCCAACAAATGTTCCAGATTTAGTAGCAAGTAACACTTTTGGTTTATTTTGATTTTTCCCAATGAACGAGGTTTGAAAATTGCTCTGAAGGTAGTTCAAGTAATAATTGTACATTACCGCAAATAAAAATGTTATCAAAAAGAATAATATTGAAATGGGTATGTCCTGCAATCTAGTATCTTTTATCTAATCTATTATCTCTAATCCATTATCTCCATTAATTCACCTCCATAATCCTCCTCCTTCATTCCTTTATACTCATTTATAATTCTTTAATTCTCTTCCATACTCTTCCATAATCCCTCTCAACTCATCTATAATTCCTTGATACTCTTCCATACTCCTACATAATCCTTAAGTAGTCGTAGAGTGGGACTAAAAGGAGGAGCATTTAAGTCAACATAGCACAAAATAAATATCTCTAATTGAGGACCTAAGTAGCACATACGATTGGCTATATGAGCTGTTTATCTCTCTACAAAGGAAATAATTTAGTATCTTTTTTTATTGATGTCTTATTAGTACCTTTTTTGTTAATTTAAAATGCAATTTAATTACGAAATTAATTTAAATTACAACAATAATTATTAACGTGTATTAACGTTAATTAGAAAAAAAAACAAACGTTACATTTTTGTTTTTGTTTAGAGGGCGGGGCGGCGTCGCTGTTGTCCAACTCGATTCCCCTCTTCCTTATTGCGAGCGCCACTGGCCGTCGCCGCCGCCACTAACGGACGTTTCAGTGTCGCAAGCACGCCACAGCCGCAATACTACCGCCGCGCGACGGCCTTGCACGCGTCGTCCAGTGTTTGTTGCGGTTGACAGTGTGTTGCCGCGATGGACGCAGTCAGATTGTGCGTGTTAATAGCGGTGTCCGCGTTGGCGGCCGCCGGTGTCCAGCGCGAAGAACACGACGCCGACGGGCCGCCGTGCTGCAAGACGGCCGGCAGCGAGTTGTCCAGGGCCAGTTGCCTGGGCGCGGTGGCCGCCGACGGGACCATGTGTCGGTTCCACGAGATCGTGCCGCTGAACGGACAACAGGCCCGGGCGACGGGCGGCTGCGAGAACAGTACGGCCGGTCCCGTGCTGGCCGTGCGCAAATGCTGTCCGCCGGGCCAGTGGTACGACGCGACGCTGACGATGTGCCAGCCGCTGCGGCCGTCCGCCGACGACGGTACCGAGTGGCCGTCGCTGGTGGACGCGTTGCTGCGGCTCGACAACGGCACGGCGGCCAGAGTCAACGAAACTTGGTCGGTCGGTTACAATTACGGGCCGCCCAAGTGTAACGATTCCGAAGTGGCCGTCGACTTGAGCGCGATGGACCGTATCGCGGACGACGGCCGGCTGTTCGCCGGCCGACCGGACGACCCTTGCGTGGACTTCCTCAAAGTGACCGATCGGCCGCCCGGCAAACTGGTGGCACGCGCGTGCCTGCCTAGGAAACACCATTGTCGGGTCAACACGTGCGTGAGGAAGTGCTGCCAGTACAACAAACGCATCGCCAACGGGCAAGTGCTTTAAACTTAACCTGACTTCATTTGACTTGGTTTAATTTAATTTGTATTTTTATACAAAACATAAACCCCCAACACGCTTTTACGGCAGCTGATAACATAAAAAAAACCACTTGTAATAAAATTTTTCCATAATTTTGTACTTAAGAAACAGTAGGGTCCAAGTGCAAGTCCAGTACTCAGATCCTTTGTCAATATCAATGTAAAAAGAACTACAAAAATGTATAGTTAAAAATTACCTAAAAAGTAAATATTCATAACTGGCTATCGACCGGTCAACTTTTCGGCGAATTTGTATTGTTTAAAAAAATTAATCATTAACTCATACTTTCCATTTAGGTCTAAAAAGAAAATATTTATATTTATATAGTTTTATAAATGATTGGGGTTTTATTAAACTACTATAAATCGTTATTTGTATTTAGTTTTCAAAAGTGAAATAAATAAAAGTGTTATTAAAGTATAAAATTATCACAATAGCAAAATTAGGTAGGTACTTTTTTTTCCATCACAAAAATACAATGTATAATCAATCATACAAAGTATGTGAAACCAAATAACAGAATTTTCTTATTATATGATATTTAGATTTATTTGTTAGTTGTCAAAAAAAATGTTTTTTTTCCGGGACTATTTAAACCACTGGTGTGCTTTTGGAGTAATAAATCGTCTGCGGTTTAGGCAACGTTAACTGAACTGTTCACTTCAGGTCAGAGACATTAGGCCAGCAACAGCAGATTAATTTCATTGGGAAAAGCGAGCTCAGGTACCTACTTTTGTGTTGCTGAACTATAATAATTCATTATGCTTTATCTCGGGTCTGCAACTGATATCCGTAACAGTGTTTATTAAACCTCATCCAGTTCAGGTTCGAAGTTAGGGGAAGAGCTAGTCACATCCGATTTGGTGGCCACACTCTTTAGCTACCCGGAAAATGGTTTTTCTTGAAAAGTATTTTTTGAAAACCGTAAAACATAAAGAACTCCACTTGGCTTTTCTCCATAAAAAAAAAAACCATTACCAATGTAATGGTGTTTGCGCCAATGATTATTTTCGTTGCTTCGTGTCATAATAATAATAATAATAATATTATATTTCAATGTTCGATGCGGTTTCGTTTATATAAAAAAAAAACAAATAATGATATTTTTTTTTTAATGAGGAAGAATAGACTTGAGTGGGATTTTGGGATTTTAGCCTATTATTGCTTAATTATTTTTAGAGTAAAGTGGAAAATAAATGCTTGAAAGTTAAAATATACCTAAGTGAATACCATTTTCCTTAAAATTGTTTAAACATACTATCTGATTGACTATGTTTTGTCCTGTATGCATTTTTGTTTGATTCATTTCTACTTGGCATGTATTTGTTACATTACACCGTCAACATGGTTAGCAAATGATTTAATAACAGCTGTCGAGCACATCAATGAAAACGCCATTACAGTGACATAATGCATAAAAGTAAGAGGCATCTTGTCCACAAAGTCAAATGGTGTTTCTTTGAATTAGTATAATTTTCTGTGTTGGGCTTGAACATTTTACAAAAAAAAAAAATTGTTCATATGGCTTATTGAATACAAACATTTTTTTTAGCTGTTATTGAACCTCATTAGAACTCAAAAATGATTTAGATGTTTGGTTTTGATCTGGCAATAGTAATATTTAAAAAAAAACGTCGTATAATGTATAAATGTACATTATTTGTCCGCTACACTGTTCTTTAAAAGTACAAAAAAAAAATATACTTAATTATTATTTACCTATTTCACACCGTCCCGACACGTTTAACACACACTTTAATTGGTGTCCGGCGGCTATTTCTCATCAAACCGACACCGACCTAATGTATTATTATTATTATAATTATAATTGCCGGTAAGTAAGTATTGTGTTAAGTATTTTTTTTTTTTTTTTGTTATTAACGTTAGAGACGGTATGGATCGATAACGAAATCGCTCCAGGCGCGACCGCACAGTTTGTCCGATCGGTGGTAATATTAGCTGCAAAACGTCCATTAATAATAACTATTATTAAACCGAATTCGTTGAATGTTTAGTAGGTAAAAAAAAAAAAAAAAAATTATATAAATATCATCTTTCCGTCGAAGCAATGACATTGGATAACGACGTACGTCATGTCTTATGGCCGTATTGAATACAAGTGATCCAAACACTCAATATCACTTAAACTTGTTATAATAATATTGTGTTTGATATTTTTTTTTTTTTAATGTCAAGGGTATTTATTTTTTTATAGAATATTTAATTTAATTGATTGAAAACTAATTTAAAAAAAAAAACCGTCGAATTTAATTATATTATCTCAAAAACAGCTTTGAACAGCTCGAACGTTAATTTCGAAGTTCCCACCTGCTCAAAAAACAATTAGATTTTTTTTTATATTAGTATTAATACAAGTCCGGCACGAAATGGATTTAAAATATATGCATTGTACGTACTACATAATAATATAGATACTGTAATAATAATTTGTCAGAAGAATTTTGAGTTGAAAATGAAATATCCCAATTATGAGCTTATTAAAGAGCTTCATTTGCTTAATTAGTAGTTCATTCAAGGTCAAACTATAACACTTGAAAGAAAAAAAAAATCTCTTCAGTTCAAACACACTGCTAACGTGACAGATGATTCGTTTAGATTAATGAAGGCAATGGGCTTTTTTTTTTGTTAAGAGGTAATATACAAGCGATGACGATGAGTATGAACAATACAAATACGAGGAAAATGACATTTGATAAGTGTGAACCGTGAATCACAGACAAATGAAATATCTGGCATCGTCGGCCAAAATGTCAATATGTCTCTGATAAACTCTGACAAATTGTCTTTTGCTTATTTTGTGGTATTAAAGAACGGGTACGAGTTGTCATCGAGTTATCTAGATACTGTCACCCCAAATATGCTGTTCTTCGGTCTTGTAAACGAATTTATCCGTTGTAATAATATTAATCCGTTTTGTTTTCGTTACAGAACTTGCAAGGCGACCGCGGACGTGCCTTCTTTTCGACCTCCGATTTTTCGCCTGGACGGCAACGACTTGATCCCGGCAAACGGCACCGTGTTGGCGTTGTACCGGTTGGCCTGCGACGAACGGTTCAAAATCGACGGCCCGTTCGCTGTGCTCGCCGAAGACGGCGGCGGTCTGCTGGTGGTGAACAACAAGCGCAGGACATATTCGCCGGACTCGTATTGCGTCGAGTACAACGCCGCCGGTGACCTCGGCTTCCAGTTGGAAGCGTACGTGTGCTACAACGGGCCGCGGGAGCTCGGCACCGAGGCGGACGTCAGGGGCAGCTCGAAGTACGTGCTGAGCTCGTTAGGAATAGTCCCGTCGATCGTCTGCATGGTGATCACTCTGCTCGTGTACGCCACCCTGTCCACCCTCCGCAACGTGCACGGCTTCTACGTGATGTGCTACGTGGCGTGCCTGCTCACGTCCTACGTTTGTCTGTTGATCAGCAGCTGGATGACCGACCACCTGGACCCCGTACAATGCACGGTACTGGGTAAGGCGGGCAATTACCTGATTTGCATATTTTTTAAACGTTCCCCGGGATGTCTCAAAAACAATGTGGTGGGGTTTCAAACGGATGCATCACAGTGGTCTGAAACGCAATTTTAGGTGGAAAAAACTTATATCGATCAAATTTTCCTCAGATTTTGTCCAAAAAATTATAAAAAAAGTGGTACTTAATGTATTCGGGGTCAAAGAGTTGAAAATTTTGTATCAATTTTTAAATTCACGTATAATTGTAAGATGCAAATAAACATAATATTTTGTTTTTAAATTGAAATTTAACTTTCGTAAACTTCATATGTTTCATAACTTAAATTTAATAATGATTTTACGTCATTGTCCAATTCATTTTTTTGGTATGTTGCAAATTGAGGAAATATATGGATCTGAAGTGACAAGTAATAAGTGTAGAACGTCTTCGTTTTGAGCTACTCTACTAATTTTTCGCGAGTGATGTTCGCGATAATTTTTATAGTCTTTATTTCGAGCTTCCTGTGCTTCCTCGGAAAGTTGTCCTTAAAAATGTTCATATTACATTAGTTAATTATAATAAAGTTTATAATGGCTTTTACACCAAAGTCTTTGTAAAACCAAAGTAAACTTTAAAATTGAATGGTTGACTAACTTAATGTGTATTGCGGTTCCCATTTTACATTTTCATACCATGCCCTCGAAATTTCAAATAAATAGTTTCTCGATTTTAAAGAATGGGGATTTAGTGGACCTCTATTTTTTAATAGCTGATAAAAATCATTATAAGAATAATACCGAGAATCAGTGTTATTCCAATACAAATTGTCGTCAATTTCAGAATCATTTATTCCAACACTGCCGCTAGAGCTACCTACAAAAAAAATTATTAAAAATACAGATGCAAATGGATGCAAACCAAATTTTGGGATCTGGTACTGAAGAACAAGTACTATATTGTGTATATATTGAATAACGATTATTATGGGTTATTTTTTAGTTATACGCTTTGAAATATCAATATTAACATTTTTTTACTACTTTTTTAACTTTGTTTCAATAGTAAAATAATAAATATTTATAATATTAATATGAAACACTTACCTAAGTTTTCGAATTCATTACTTATATGAAACTAATTCAAAAAAAAAAAAAAAAAAGTTTACCTGTGTATAATATACTAAAAAAATGTAATGTACAATCGGTGAACGATTCGACGTTTGTGAGCGCGTTATTATGTTTTACTTATCGCTTGCGCCGCTTGGTAATGTTAATATTATCTGAAATTCTATTCTTTTGTTATATAGAACTTATATATAATGGGTTAATAACATAAAATACCTATTTTTATGAATTTTAATAATTGACTTTATTCCACCTAAATTAGCTTTTAGACCACTGTGGGATGTAGGTTGTGAAGTATTGGACCTACAGCGCTCTGGTAGGGTTTGGATGAAAGAGAGAGAGTTTTCAAGTTTCCAACGACTGCCTTGTGGATATCTAGCGACAGAGACATCCAGTGGCAGTCGTTCGACACTTGATCCCACTATTCTTCAAAGCCCACTATTCGTTTCGAGACACCCTGTATATATTGTATATAGCAGCCTAGGTTAAAAAGCGGAGATGAGAATGCCGAGATAGACGAGTGGAGTGACTGGGGAGGATAGAATAAGAAATGAATACACAAAAAGGAGTCTAGGAGTTGCATCAGTTGTGTGGAAAACGAGAGGGAATGGTTTGAGATGGTTCGGTCGTGTAATGGGAAGGGACAGTGAGAGGTGCTGCTATCGTAGCTACTTGTTGATTTACATGATATAATTTTAAAGCAATCGGTGTGTAAAAATATCATGACCAAGTGTTCAATTATTTACTGACGTTGCTGAGTCTTCAGAACTAGTATCCGTATCACTGTCCGTATCCATAAAGATTATCATTCTCCCTTGTGTACTAATAAAGTATATTATTATGTTAGCTCAACATTATTTTAGGAAAATAAAATGTGTAATTAATTTTATCCAACGATTTGAAAACTATTTTTTTTTTTTTTCAGGCTACGTCACTTTGTTCGCGTTCCTAGCGGCGTTCGGTTGGCTTAATGTAATTTGTTTTGATATCTACTGGGTTCTCAGGTACGTTATACGGTTTGCATCAGAATAAAAAAAAAAAAAAAAAAAACGTACAATGTAAACGCTCAGAGCAATTAAACAGAAAGCGTCCGTGCGACTGTGCAATTACTATTGCTGTAGTTTGAACGAAAAAAAAAACTCATTTGCTTATAATAATATGTATACATAATTTTTTTTTTTTAATATAGTAAATACTGCTGCGCTAGTGTCCGTCATAACATAACGGTATAATTATCTAAGTAGAAGCGCAGTGTCTATTTAAATATCCGAGAAATTGAAATAGATAATAGTAGTATTTTCGAAAGTACATCTGGTTCAAAAAATCAAATCCATCGTATAGGTAGTATTTATTTGAATGTCAATCTTGAAAGTAACTAATATTTTTTCGGCTTAAAAAAATGCACAAGTCATTAATAATAGTTTTCGCGGTAGGTAAGATTTAACCGACAAACTACAATAAAATAGGCGCCGGAGTAAATAACATGTCGAAAACAATATTAATAACTAAAATGTTACTATGAATTTGAAGATAACAATGTGTATATGTATATTGTATATACACATCCGACGGGTTACGGATGAGAAAAGATTTTCGCGATAGCCAAAAATGTCTTAATAATAGCCATCACGGTCGATGACTAGCTAATGCATTGGCAATACGTCCTGTATAACACACTGTTATTGTAAAATTAAATAGAGGTTTTCAAGGTTAGGTCACTCGAAAACTAATGTATTTTACCACTTAGGTACGTTTTATCAGTAGGTGTTTTATATTAATTTTACTACACAACCCTGCGTTTTCACATTCAATTAAATACCAAGCGGCGTGCACACGTGCACGCGCAGAAGTCATTTGTCATTTGTTTTAATTGTAATACAGAAATAGTTATGTTAAAGGTATAACATTTTTTTCTCTATTTTATCTCGAGTAGACGTACGTTAGAAAATGATTTACATATATATATACTTAAGCAAAACTACTTACAAAAGTACCGTTTTGTACAACACGTTTGGGTTTCCTTTTATGCGCCATTAGAGAGTAACGAATCTATGTAGTATGAATTATTTATCGGTTTGTAAAATATGCAATACTAGAATATGACAACTTGAAGTTGGACTTGTTGTTTGATTAGGAGACAATATGAAGTTTTTTTAAAATTTCATCGAGTTGGTAACAAATATGGCTTGGGTGGAATTGAGCAGTAAAAATAAATAAACTAAAATTTCACCATTTGACTTTTAGGTACACGAATTCGGTTCACAGGAAAACGTCCATTTCCAAACGGACCATATTTTACAACTTGTACAGCTGGGGATTCGCTTTGGCTTGCACGTGCTTCGCTTTGACCACACAATACTACAAGGATTACATCATTCCCGAGGAGTATTCGCCCGACATAGGCTTGGATAGATGTTGGTTTTCCAGTAAGTATTTCTGTGCTACCATTTTTTCGTTCTTAACTCGTTAAGAAACCAAACGAATTGCAATCCAGTTAAAAATTGCATAAACGACATACAAACATAATTCAAGAGATGTGTACATTTTTCACGTTTATACATAGCTACGCATAGTTACAACTACACTACAACTTTTTTTAAAGATAGGCAAATTAGTTCCAAATTTGTGAAAAAAATATTTTTTAAATAAAGTACTACCTAACGATAAACGTCGACGAACCAAAAAAAAAAAATAATACAAACACTATCCACTTAAAGAGGTGGACAATTTTTCATTTATTTCTCTTTTTGAGTTTTAAGACACGAGGTCTGAAAATTATACTCAAGGTAGATAATATTATGAATTTGGACTATAACATTCTTAAAACTCTGAAGTGAAATGTTTTTTTTACTAAGCAGTGAATTATAATTTGGCAAAAATAGGCCATTAGAAATGTTCAAAAAACAATTTTTTTTTTTAGGATCTCATTAGTATATGATTACTAGTGTAAATGTAAAATTTCAACTTAATAACAAGTGAACTAACCACATATGGGTTTTTCTGTTATTTTGAAAATAAAAATGCCGATAATTCATTCATTTTTTTTTGGCTATTGAAATATATAAAATAAAAAAAATAAAAATGCTTGATTGTTAAGTAACATATAAAGATTATAATATAAAAATAATTTTTTATTTAAGTCCCTAACGGTTATAAATCATAAAAAAAATCTAACGTTTTTTTTCAAAGACTTTAGTTAAAATTTACTCAATTTCGAAAATTCTTCGATTCTTTTTCTTGACAAATTTCTCAGCGATGATATATATGGATCAGATGAAACTAGTAACATATTTAAGAGATCTTCATTGGTGTGTTTTCAGTCTTTCCGCGTTTATGGTGTTCTCGAATATTTGTATAGCCCTTATTCCTGACCCCTGTGATTCTTCAGATCTTATCCGTTTAAATGAAATACTTGATTTCCCAATATAACTTTATATTCACTGATTACCTCCTCAAACATTCATCACGTCTAGTACTTGTAAATAACAATTTTACATATTGTGTTATTGTATATTTATTTAATTGTACACAAATAATTAATTTTCTATACAATTGTTTTAAAAAAACACCATTTTTTTATGGCAATATGATTTTTGTTCGTTGGAGATGCAACGGGACGCAATAAAAAGTTATATATTCTTATAGCTGAGAGCTTCTTCTATAAAATGCATATATTGGGTTTAGGGTGAAATTGAGTGAATTTTAACTGAAGTCTTTGAAAAAAAAAAAAGTTCGATTATTTTAATAATTCCGTTAGGGACTTTAATATAAAAAAAAAATTATTTTTGTTTTATAATCTTTATATGTTACTTAACAATCAAGCATTTTATTTATTTTATATATTTCAATAGCCAAAAAAAATTAATGAATTATCGGCATTTTTATTTTCAAAATAACAGAAAAAACCATTTGTGTTTAGTTCACTTGGCTATAACTCCAGTTAAAAAAAATGTTATTTTGTTGAAATTTTATATTTACACTAATAATCATATACTAATGAGATCCTAGAAAAAAAAATTGATTTTTTGAACATTTTTAATGGCCTATTTTTGCCGCCTAAATTTCATTCTCAGACAAAGACCTAAATTGTGATTTCAATAGTTGTCTGTTGATTGGACGGTGTTTTTCCAAAAACCGTCTTGTAGCAGTCAATGCTGCCATACTATTCCATTGTCGCTTTTCATAAGTAACCTATCACTCTGTCAAAAGTGTCTCTGAAAGAGTTAGCGGTGGACTTAAAGACAAACCAAGTGTGTGATGATAATAGAAGAATTTTGAAACTTTGTCGTTGAAGCATATTGATGATTCTGATTGATACATTTCGTTTTTTAAATGGACACCCTAAATTAATAATTTTAGACATTCCAAAAATAATGATAATGACTCATGATTTGCCATTGACTCCACTTTGCCGCTTTCGACGATACGGCTCAATACTAAGTACAGCTTTTCGTTTGTTTTTGCAGATAATTACCCAAACAGGGGTATTGTGGTGTTTTTTTTGTTACCCTTGACAATCATGTTGTTGGCCAACGTGGTGTTATTTTTGATGACCGCCATACACTGCGTCAGGATAAAATCGGAGCTCAACAAGTTCAAACGGTCCGACACGAAAACCAAGAAGTTCCAAGCCGAAAAAGAAAAGTAAGTCATCCGGATTTGTTTTTTATGTATATATTTTCAACCCGCTTAACGCTGTCTAAACAGGTTTGTGATGAGCATCAAATTATTTTTGGTCATGGGCATATCGTGGATAGCCGAGGTGTTGTCCCGGTCGTTCCCTCAGCTGAATTCCATTTGGGAGATTATGGACTCTGTCAACACCCTGCAGGGCGTGCTGATATTCTTCATTTTCGTGGCCAAACGCAAAGTCCTGAACGACTTGAAAAAGAAACTGCACAAGACATGCGACAGCTCCAAAGACTCGACCAAGGTGTACACGGTTTCGGGTTCGTCGCAGAGCGGTGGCAGCAGTGTAAAAACTAGCTTCAACAACTTTTAAAGCAGCTACGTACAAAGTTACCGCTGGAGAGAAAGCAAATTTCCCTGTCGGCATCAGAGTCTGGATTTAGAGTACTGGATTATCATTCCTTAGTTGGGGGGGGGGGGGTAGCAAATATTATTGTAATCAACCATAACATTTCGCACGAACACGACTTATGGCATAATGCAATTGACTGTTTTATCAGCTGGTTCTCTTGCCAGAGTTATCCAGAGATTATCGATTTTCCAACAACACTATCCCATTCCCATGATATTATCCTATCCCCATGACTATAACCTCGCAAAACCTTAATATGTAAAAACATGTTGATCGGTGTTACTGTTTGAGGCTATTCCAAAAGACAATTCGTAATCGTTCCGTAACCGTTAAATATGTACATATATTTTTTTGAAACAAATACAAGACACGTTGCAAGTAGAGTTCAGGATTGATTTTTTAGAACATTTTTTTTTAGGGACGACTGAATGATCACAATCGTCTAGGTTCATAATCGAAGGAGTTGATAACGTTTATTTAGTTATTCGATGCTAACACAAAAAAAAATAAGCCAATTTATAGTGTTTATTAAAAATTTAAAACGTCCTCTCAACGTTTCTTACAGTGAACCGGTTTCAGGCGTTGACCATCAGCGGTGTTAAACTATTCTAAAAAACTTCAGCTGTTAACTTAGCCAGTCCAAGTAAATAACAAAACCATAGGCCCCCGTCTTAAACAAAAAATAAACTAACCGAGTTGGAATAAAATTGTTTGTGTCACTTTATTGCACCATGTCAGCAACTTGTAAAAATTAAATTCGTATCTCATTTATTTATATTTCTTCGAACATTGTGTGGATAATGTTTGCTTACTTCTTTTTTTTTTTTAAGTCTTGTATTTTTTTATAATAATTTTGTATGCATATAAAATAGCTTAACTTTATTGTATTTCTAACCATTCCGCTTATGATTACTGTACACCGATAGTGTTAAATTATAAAATAACATATTGTATACACAATTACATGCACTGTGCAACATTAGTATTATTGTTATACAGTTATTATAAATCACAAGTTTGTTTTTTTTTTATCAAATTCACTCACTATTATTGGGTTCTAGTAACTACTATTACTATTTTTGTATTTACCTACCTATACATAATTTTTATATTTATACTTATATATCAAGTGCACGTTTGTTTATGCACCAAATTTTTAAATTATATTTTATCTTATACTATATGTATGTCGGTAGCTAGTCATTATTGAAAATAAATATGTGTGTGTATAAAAAAAAAATGTATTTTAAATTAACTTCAGTCGATTGAAGGGTTGCATTAGTGGAACTCCATATATTTTTATATTTTTACTAAGTTAAAAGTCCAATGGAAGTTGTATAAAAAAAAAACAGATAAATGAGGAAATAATCTCATAAATAACTATTTGTAAAGAAATTCTTTTATGCCTCGCCCAAAAAAGGAATATTGATTTTTCTTATTGTTTATTGGCATACTAAATAAAGTTTATATTAAGTGTCGCCGAATATTTTAAAGCTTCTTATATCATATAGTTTTGATTTGTTATACTGCATATAAACAAAAAAAAACCTATTTGTTAGTTATAATGTGTAAGCTTTATAAACTGAGATATATTTACACAGGTTTTTACTAAGGGATGATGCCACATTGTTATGTTCCTACATTATAACAAAGCTTTTATTATTATTACATATTATAATTATGTATTTATAGCCTATTTTTGTTTTAATCTATTTTTTTTATTATGTTTGCAAATTTAAATAATACGTTTATCATATTATTATACGTTATATTTTAATGTAATCATTTTTATGTTTTAAAATGATATATTTAACTAATAATCTGATGAAAAAAACCTGAAGTAAGTGAAATGTATATTGACCAAAAAGTAAGTTACTGCTGAAATACACGGACTTATTGGGGGGGTGGAAATAAAATATTGCACAGGCGAAAGATACGCCCCCTGAGGGTTAGGTAGATAGCAGGACGGTTATGTGATTTATGTAAACAACAGCTGTTGGATAGGTCCAAGAGGGTTGTTGTGTACAAGTAATAAAGTACTATATGCAATGAATATTTCCCATGGCCGAAAGAATAATAATTATTGTGGCACAATATTTTCATGCTTTTCAGGTGAAAAATAAAAACCGTTAATTATAATTAATTTCAAACCGCTTCATTATGATATTATTTGTATCTGCATGTCGTTTAACATTTGGGTGTGGCGCCCATTGCGACGTTATAAAAACGTCACCCCAAATAATGTAAGCAAGGTAAAATAAATCTATTTTCGTGTCAACGTTCTACGTTAGTTAAAATTAATTGAAAAAACGTTATATTTTCACGGTATCTTCATACTTAAATCTATAGTGACCTGTCTGTCCTTGCCTTCGTGTTACAGAAACCGTTATAATGTTTTGGACAACTTTCTTCACATAATATTATTGTACATAAATTAGCGTATTGAACCAAATACAGTTGAAATGTGTAAAGAGAAATAATTACAGTGAGAATACACACACTGCTATTCCCAAATTAGAACTTCAATTTATTATTGTCTATCTCTTCCTAAACAGCTAATGAAACGATTTCAATAAAACTTGAAATATATAATTGTGATAGTCTGTAGCCACACCTGTGGGGGTTATCTTTATCTAAATAAAAACTCAATCTATTATTCCAAGGTCGACGTTTTAATAACACCTAGCTGGTTCATAGAACGATGAACCTAATATTTTTTTTTTCGTATAAACGACAAACACAATTTATTGTTAATATTACTAACAATCAACCTAACCTTTCTACTTTATTGTTATCATTACCAGCATCGTGTTTCTGTAGTAACTGTTTCTCGCTAACTGTAATTATTGTAACAACATAAAACAAATTACCGTTATGATACAAACTATTTTATTAATGGTAAATAAATATAATTTAACCTATTGTACGAGAAACGTTCATAATTTTCCGGTTATTTATTTAAAAATTACTATTCTTTTAATATACATTCTTTTTTTTTTTTTTTTGAGAGCTCTTAAGTTTAAAAAAAAAATATTCCGCCCATCAACAACCAGGTATTATAGTATTTATATTTCTTTATTTTATCTGTATGTTATGAATGTTAGAATAAATTTACTTTACAAAACATCACTTTTATTAAACTTTTTGTTGTACAGTTATTGTGTTTTCAAGCCGATTTTGTTACTGTAACATTTTAGCCAGTGGAGGCTTTAGATTTCTAATTGATAATTAAAATTTGCCACAAAAAAAAAGGCATACAGTAAGGTTAATGTTATATTATTTATATTATATTTTAAGTGATTAGTGACCATTGTTTAGTAGTATGGGTGAGATGTACCTGTGCCAAAAGATACAGATCTTTTGGCAATTTTTGATTTCAAGTTATTCCAATAATTATTGCTCTCTATGCCTACCGACTTAAGTAATTAAGTTACTTTTAATTTTAGGCTATTTTCAATATCGTGTCCCTACCTCCTCGACAGCATCATCCGCCACCTGATGATCGGCCAAACCAATATAAATTATGCATAACAGACCGCCATATAGTCCAGAAATTGCATCCAATCCGCTGGTATACTCTCCACAAGACTATGATCCAGTAATTCAACAACAACCCAGCGCTGATCAACCTTTTCCTGTCGCTGCAACCGGTAACAGTTTCGTTTTATAATAATGATTTTTTAATACCTAATTTGTGTATCCAAAAAATACAAAAATATACCATAAAGTGTATGGTTCAGTTAATCTCAATTAATTAACAAACCTTAATTATCCTCTGTTAATCAATTGCACCACTAAGCGCTTGCTTGAAAGTAAAAAAATAAAAGGTTCCATTTAAAATTTCCCCCCCAACAAAAAAACATTAAATACATCAATTAAAACTGATTTGTATCTAACACTATTAGATGGTTGGACGGTAATGCCAGCTGCTATTACACAAGGCTGGAGCGACGGCATTCAAAAGCTGAACTATGTTAATAAGTTACTTATAAAGCAGAAAGTGGACTTGTTGGAACGTAACTATATTACGATTAATTGATCTGAAGTTTTCACATGCCATTGCTGTATATAAATATAAATAAAATACAAATTTAATGTGTAGTTTTTGTGGGATTTGAATCGAAAAACAAATATACCATCATAAACGGTGTCGGCGAGGAGGTGTTTTACGCTATCGAGAACAATGGTTGTCTGGTGAGAAATTGTTGTGGAAAAGCAAGACCGTTCAAAATGAAAATATTTGATCAATATAGAAATGAAATCATTCGTTTATCGAGACCGCTCAGATGCCAATCGTGTTGCTGTCCATGCTGTTTACAGGTAAAAAAAAAACAACTGCAGTAGATTTGTAAGATAATTAATAATAGTCTATGATTTTATTTCGGTTAGAATATTTGGGTTAAAAAAAAATACTTACTGTGCAAAGTTGTACAGATTGAATATATTAAAATAAAGATTATTACTATAATTAGAGAAAAGAAAAATGATTAAAAAATACTTGGCATATTTATAATATATAGTATTTGAGAGTTTTCTAAAATAAAATTTAGTAGATGGATAAACATCTATTCTTAGAAAATTTCAAGGGCTTTTCACATATTTTGATTCAATGTCCACCGGTGCTTGCGTTGTCAATATCTCCAGTTGAATGTACTGTTAATAATTATTCATATTTGACTTATTGATTTATGTATGTATTTATTTTTATTAAAAAAAAACCAAATCGTGTGAAATTGTTTTGGTAGTTTTAATTTTGGTTTTGTTTTTAGAGAATTGAAGTATTTTCGCCTCCGGGGCGGCTAGTCGGATCAGTCGATCAAGAATGGTCTATTTGTTGTCCATCATTTGCCGTGCGCAACGCAGCTAATGAAGAAGTTTTCAAAATCAAAGAAATCAAAGGTCAAATTTGTAGTTTTCCATTGTGTAGTCATGACAATTTTAAAGTAATACAAACGTTATTGTCATTTTTGAAATCTTTAAATGTACTCATATTCGGTAATTAGAACGCGAACCAAAACTTGTGAAATTTATATTGTATTACAGGAGTATTATAGGGTTGGAGATAAAAGTATTCTAAAAAAAATAAAGTAAAATATGAACTATAAAGAATGGGAAATTTTTTTTTTTTTAAATATTAATATTTTCCGAGAAAATCAGTGTTTTACGTTGTTTGGATCACCCTGTATACAACACAGTATTTTTTAGTGTAAAACTAGCAGTTCCTTAAGCCATCCTACCTTTTTTTTTTGTTGGACTTAAAGTTTTGGAGTTTTGGAAACATATTTAAAAAACAATATTATTCAACATGTAACGCGTTGAATTTCGTTAATAGCAAAACTTTCATATTTTTTTTTTTAGTTACCTAAATAAAATTGGACGGTTATAACTGACCAAAAGTTCAGAAAACAATTTTAGAAACGCACTTCTCGTGGCATTTTCTTAGATGAGCTGATTAAAGAGTGCAAAACTATGTTATGTTTCTTTAAAACTTTTGCTCCAAAAACTCTTTTGTTTTAATAATTGGTTTAATAAATTAGCGTATCAACAAAAAGTTCACGTTTTTTTTTTCTATTCCTGTTGTATTGTAATATTTTCTATTTTATTTTACTTTTACTTTTCAGATTATATCCAAAGACACGTCGACCGAAGTCGGTCGTATATCGAAACAATGGTCCGGACTTTTAAGAGAAGCCTTTACGGATGCTGACCACTTTGGAATAAGTTTTCCAATGGGACTCGATGTCCGTATGAAAGCAGTTATGATAGGAGCGTGCTTTTTAATAGTAAATACAACGTTATAATACAAATTTCTATATTATTCATATATTACTTTATTTTTTCTTTTAGGATTTCATGTTTTTCGAAAAGAGTTGCGACGAAGACTGCAACCCAGAGTGATACCCAGTTGGAATGGGCCATTTTATACATAAATTCATAACCTAATCTTAACCAATTTATTAACCAGCTCTTTATTACCTTGGTTTTAATTATTTACTCGGAGTCAACTCCTAAATTGCTGTACTACAGTTTGGCCGGATTGACCAGTAGAAAAACAGACAATATTACCGCAAAGTTATTTAAAATTATTCGTCCAGCGAACGAAAAGTTATTTTCATTCTGAATTGAAATTAAAAAAAAAAAGAAAAAGCTAGTACAGTGGGGTCGGAGCATAGTGGTGGGGATAGAGAGGTCACCGATTTTGAAGGGGAAGAGATGAAATTTTCAAAATTTTTAGTCCAATAAATTTCAGGTGCGATTTCTGATCTTAAGAGTTGTAAAATATATCGTGGTACAGACACAAAAATAATAAAAAAAAATATCATTGTAAATACAATACCTATTCTCAGGTATCGCATCGAAGCTAGCTAGAAGTTTTGTCGTTCTTACTTGTCATAACGATAACAAATAAAGATTTACATAAAAGCAAATACAGTAATATATAATATGAACACACCACATATTACTATAACACACCAATATTGGAATAACTAAATGACTAGTTTGCCAACTAAATGTTTAGTGAACACAATTAAGGCATTTTAAAACACCAAAAAGATCTTACTGGTATATTGGCTTTTAATAAACTTTTTTTAATAGACGTTTATTATCAATTCTCAAGGAGAAGGGGTGAACTGCTTAATTTGTTGGACCAGAAGTAGTAAAAAAAAAAACTTGGAAAAACTTGACTAAATCACTAAAAACTCATAAAAACATTAAAGTCTTACAAACGCAAAATATAACTGCATCGGTAAACAACTCCAATGTCTATTGATAAACTTGATCGTAAACCTGAAGAAAACAGTAAAGATTAATCAATGGATCTCTTTTCAGATATTGACTTGTTTTACACAAGGAGTAATGTTTTATTTTCATTTTTATGTTATGCTTTACAGGTTGTTAATTGACTAATCAAAGTAAACAAAAACCCCAGAATAAAGTATACCATATTTAATTTTTGTTTACAATGCTTTTTTTTTATATTAAGAGGAAAGGAAAGCGCTATTTATTAAGCGGCAAAGAAATGACAATATTCGACTAAAATTGAACTAGTAACCATCTTAGGTAAGCCGACTACTTTTAATGTTGTAGTGAGCACGTTAAAGATTATTTTTATCTCATCAGTTATTAACGAAAAAGATAAAACATACTTGTATTGCAATACGTTAATGACTATAAATATAATTATTCGAAATTGGTTTTTGAAACAGTCTAGTATTGCAGTAAATTAAGTGAGTTAATAATTTTCAACATATTTATTGACAGACAACCATTATAATGTAACATGAAAGAGTATACCGTATACGATAATTTTAACAAATACAACCGTAATTACTGTACATATAGCCATTGATTGTTAGTACCCCGAAACCAGCCCATAACAAACTTGATTGTGTTAATTTTAGTAAATATCCATTCCGAATAATTATAAACAATAATGATTTTGACAACACATTGAACCATTATAAAATACACCGCTCTAACTACTCACCCCTATGTACAATAATGTTAACTCACGACAATACACAGAGAAACAAATCTCTATTATAATAACACTCTCTGTGTATTGTGTTTTGTTAATAACTGGAAAAAAAAAATGTATTTAAATTTGGTTTGCGAACGGTAGACTAATTTTCAGTGAACTGTACCTTTAAATTAAAACGGTTCTGAACGTTTTAAATTACACATAACGTTCGTGATTCAATTTTAACGTGACATCCATCGGCAAACTTAAATATTATGTTACACGAAAGTTTAAGATCCTTCTGCGTAGGGCATTTTGCCGACGGTGAAAAACGATAGGACCTCACAAGAGTAGATACAGTGATTTTCATTTGAAGCATTGCGTATTTCATTCCAACACAGTTCCTCGAGCCACCGCTAAAGGGAATGTACGCAAAAGGATGACGACTGCGACACACCTCGGGCAAGAAGTTGTCAGGATTAAATTGTTCCGGATCCTTATAGTATTTGGCATTTAAATGCAAACATTGAATAGGAATGGCAATAATTGTGTCTATAACCCGAAAAAAAAAAATTCATGTAACTATTAATCGAGTACCCCGTTGAGCATTGCAGTTTGACACTTTACCTGCTGGGATTTGATATTTTCCAATGGTCATTCCGTTTTCTACTGTTCTGGCCACAATGGGCGCAGAAGGATAAAGCCGCATGGTCTCTTTGATCACGCGTTCTAAGTAGTCCATTTTTTGTATATCCTCGTACGTAGGTGGTCGGTTAGAATCGCCAGACGAAAATATCGAATTTATTTCATTAAACACCTAGTTATAAGAAGAAAAAAAATATGTTTAAGTAGGTTAAATTATTTCAAATACATTTTTTTGCAATCGTTGTTTACTTTGTTTTGCACGTCTTCGTGATGAGCCAGTATGAATATGACTAATGTGTTTGTTAGTGCTGTCAGGTCGTGTCCGGCTATAATACATATATATTACATTAAAGTTACTATTAACACAATAAAACAACATTTAAATACAAATAAATGGTTAAAAAAAAAAATAGTAAATATCGTCAGATATTAACTTATTCTTTTTGGACAGTCAGTTTTCATGTTTCTTTCAGTATAAGAAAACCTATATTTTATGATTGCTAATTACATTTTTTCGGTGTCTTAATTTTAAAGGGTATTTTTTGTGTTGAAAATTAAAGGGTTATGTTACATACATTTTTAGCAAACCATTTTTACTAAGTAGCAATGTTAATATGAAACGTTTTCTTATTATTGGTTTGGACTACTGTTCCTAAAACTACCCCTAAAAGTTAATATTGGTCCGATAAAGAGAAAGTGACTATAATTCTTTAACTGATATATTTTACAAAAAAAAAAGAAGTTTCCACACGTTCTGTTTGAGAAGTTCGTTAATTTTTTTTTTGTTTTCGAATGTTTACCCGAATTTTTGTGTCAAATTAAAAACTTATTTAAATTTGAAAGGCTAGAATTGAACTTTTTTTTCAAATATAGCTTGCCCAAAATTTAAATTGAAAAGTGGGTGATTTTTCGGTAAGATTTCACAGTTTCCAATGGGAAATATTTTAACATAAAAAATTATTTTTGGGTACAATATATTATAATGTGTTGACTCATCTATAAAAAAAATCACTGTTATTTAAGAAACATCTTGGTTTCAGATACAAACGGTAAATTAAAAATAAATGTAAAGCAACATCGAAACTAAACCACATCAATGTTTAAGCCGACTTAATATTATGTTTTACTTACCAATCATAATGGTCATTAATTCGTCCCGTATTTCTTTACTTGACATCCGATGATGGTTTGCTAATAAAATTTCAATTAGCGTTTTAGGTTTTTGATAACAGCTAAAATCTGCGTCACCGCTGCCGGTAATTGTAGTTTTATCAATTTCATTGAGTTCGACTTGTTTGTTCTGGATTAAATCGTCTACAAATTTGTGTATTGAATGTTGACTGTTTCGTTGTTGCTCTTTTTTCGATGATAGTGAAAATAATCTCGAAATGAAAAACCACGGACGCTCAAATTTGTATGCAAACATCTGAAATCGAACAATTAGAAACAGTAAGCTGGGCGACAAATATGTCAAATATTTTACTCAAAATATTCACTTCTAATAGATGCTCATAGTTGTTTAGAAATACATGATTTTCTGTTTGTTGTGAATTAAATTTTTCTCCCATAGCAGTTCTTCCAATTGTGTCCATCGACGCTAGTTCGAAAGCTCGGCTTATATCACATTCGAATGATTTACTTTCGCGTCTTTTAGCAAGTATGCGATCTAGAAGTTTGGATTCCTCGTAGAAAACGGGTGTTAATGATTTTAAATTTGTATACTTTAGCCATTCGGATACTATTTTCCTGAAAAAACATATTTTATTAATGCTCGGCTATAAACTATTTCAATATGTATCTCTTTCTTTTAAATTGGAATACATTATTCTAAAATGTTCATGTTTATACCTTTTTTCTATTCTATCTAAACCTTATTATATAAGCTATGTTTTTCTATAAATATTATTAAATTAAATAATGTAAGTATAAGTATTTTCAGTGGAAACCGAGCTGAAGCAGGGGGACGCTCTGTCCCCAGTACTTTTCAATCTTGCCCTAGAGAAAGTAGTAAGGATACTACAGGACAATGAAGGTGGTTTATTAATTGGTCAGAATAAGATACGGCTCCTCGGTTCGCTGACGATTTAGACATAATAGGTGATTCGCTTGCAGACACAGCTAACGCGGCCAGAGTGTTAGAAGAAGCAGCGAAGAAGATAGGTCTTGAACTAAATAATGAGAAAACAAACATAATGGAACTCATTGAGAGTGGGGAGGGACCCAATGAGATGGAGCACTTAATCTATGAAAAGGTTAGCGATTTTAAATAATTGGGAGCAACGTTAAGCACAGAGAATTACTGGGCAAAGGAAATAAGTATTCGGATAAATAAAGCCCAAAAAGCCTTCTACGCACTGACAAAATTCTTAACATCCAAAATGATTTCTAGGAAAACAAAAGTAAGACTGTACGTGGCTGTTATAAAATCTGAGGACTTTCGAGAATAGAGTATGGAGAAAAATATGGGAGCCTATCATCGATGAAACCACGGGGAACTTGCGGAGGAGTCATAACTAAGGGTTGTACGATATGCTAGAACTAGCAACAGTAACAAGCTTTATTAAGGGCCAATGGATACAATGGTTAGGCCATATAATGAGAAGAGGAGAGGACGAAACAGTTAGAGGAGTATTGGAATGGAAACCACAAGGGAAAACACCTAGAGGAAGACCTAGGAAAAGATGGATTGACGTGATGGAAGAAAATCTAAAAATTCTTGGAGTTGAGAATTGGAGAGAGGCAGTATAAGATAGAGATAGGTGGCTAAGTGTAGTAATGGCAGCAACAACTCTTAGAGAGTAGACATGCCAGAGGAAGAAGAAGTATAAGTATTAGCCATATAACCGAAGTGCCGTTTATATATATTGCAACCACATACAAAATATATGCTTATGCCTCTGACCTAAATATTACATATTAATTACAATTATAATCATTAAAACGTGTACGAATATACAATTACATTGTACCTGTTTTTTTTATAGTTTTGTGTATTGTTTGTTAAGACTAGTCCCTCTACTGAAAATGTGTCTTGTATTGTAGAGTGAAAAATTGTTTTTTTAAAACAATTAGGACTGTTCATAACTTCTTCTATATCTCCGGGATTGGATACCCAAACAATCAGCTTGTGAAAAAACCAAATTTTAAATATTGAATAATCGTACCTAAAACATATTAAGGTCAATTTACAAAACTATTATATTGCCCTTGATTGCAGAAAAATATAATACACAATTAAACAAATAATTACAAATAAGAATAAACATATTTTACAAGTTACAATTTATGGTTTAAAAATAGTATGGTGGTGGAATGGGGACCAAAAAAAGGAGCAGAAAACCGAGAAGATCGTCGAGGAACCTTAAAACATAAAAGGAGATAAGAGGAATATATGTTATTACTTAACAGACCATTTAAGAATGATATGCCCACAGAACAAAATATACAATGAATATATGCATGTAAAATATGAGTATTTACTTCTTGCATAATATATCTTACCATCTTAGGTTGTACTATATTAACTTCAAACATTTGTTCGATAACTAGGCCACAAAACATAAATTATGCATATTTAATCACGATTACTTACTTTGGACATAGTAGTTTTATATTCTCTAATAGCTTTTCTGCTCCTTGAGTTACAATCGTTGGACTTCCAACAATAAAATTACCATTTGGACCAGGTATTTGAGCAGCTAAAGAGTATTGTTTTTTTATCCTTTGAAAAATTACTATCGTTATAATTAACACAAGTGTCAGTAGAATGGAGCGAAAATAACTCATATAATATATCTGAAAAATAAGCAAAAGGCAGAACTTTAAACATTTAACTCACAATGTTTTAGGCTCGAATTAATTAAAAATAGATTATAAATAATAAATATTTGAATATTCTGTAGTTCTCTTTTAATATATTTCATTGCTCCATGTAGTTGTACAGAGCGATTCATTTAGAAAAGGCATATAAATTATCTAAATTTAATGATAATTTTGTATTTCTTTATTTTGTGTAAACTATAGTTTACATTGTTTTACATTATTACATTTTAGTAATGTAAACACAATACCTCACTCAAGTTTCATTAATATTTTCCACTGCACAATCAACTTTTAAAATTCAAGAGTTAACGAATACTTTTTATATAATATGTAATTAACTTATTATAAGAAAACAAATTTACTAAAATCTTTGCTTGTTCGCCAAACAGCTTTAAATAATCATTTTTTAAGTTATTTCATTTTAAAATTTCATTATAAATTATATAGGTATAAAGTAAAATAGCATTATGTACTTTTTAATGATATTATCGTTTCACTGTTATTAGTTTGAAACACAAATAGTAAATTTCTCATAACTAGGTTCCTTATATATACACTTTAGCTTCGATGCAAAGTGAGAAGGTATTGGTTTTTTAAATTAAACTTCTGTAATGGTCGACCACCAGCTTTAAATAATTGTTTTTTAAGTTATTTTATTTTAGAAATTTCGAGAGGTGGAGTTTCTTCGAGTATTGCTTACAGGTTAGGTACAGATAGTTATAATACTTTACTCCATCTTTCTACCCATCTTAAGTTTAAACTTTAATACTAAAATACTATTGATGATATACTATGTGTGGCAATAAACCACGTAACTGTAAAAAAATTAAGGTTTTTAATTGAACAGATTTTATTTAACGCTAAAATTAGTTTCCAATAAAGGTTAACTACTTAAAGCACTCAAACATTAAATTGATAGTGAAACTTACTTGTTGAAATAAAAGCATCATGTTTTTGGAAGCCGACAATATAATACAGTAAAATAATACTATGTACTCTGTGATGATATTTTGATTTCACTGGTGGAAGTTTAAAACCCAAATAGTAAATTCCTGACATTTTGGTTCCTTTTATATGTTTTTATTTGAATTTAAATTAGCGTACCTTATTAAATTACGCTTCAATCATATTTCCATATTTAATTATTGCCTGTAAAAAATTGTTTTTTTTTCCCACGTTTTTGTATGATTTATTGCACATAACGACTTTGAAACATTCTTAATTATACTACTGTTTTCAAACAACAACTTTTATGACTTTTCGGATTTTCGAAAGATAAGCATTATTTTAGAATACAAAGAGAGTAATAAAATTAGCCAAATGTATTATTCATATAATGGTATTATTGTTTCACTGTTTGAAACACAAATATTAAATTTCTCATAAATTGGTTCCTTATAATATCTTAATAAACTTACATATCGATATCATTTGTACCGGGTCATCCAACTAACGTAAGACATCATTTTCTCGGAAATATGAATATTTTGAAAACTATTTTTTTCCTATACTTTTTGATAAACGTTTTACTATGTTTTTCAATACTTTGAAAATGTTTATCTCCATCCTTTATACGATAAAAAGGGTTTAGTTCACGTTTTCAAATGGCAACATATGTTTATAATTCCATAAATTTGTGGGCAAAAATGTTTAAATTATGTTATCGTTTGAATTTTTTATTTTTATCCATCGAGTCGTTAGCTATGACTTTGTAAAGATATTAAATTTTCTCTTAAATATTATTACATTTCTTTGGTTTCCGAAGACCGGGAGCCAATAAAATACTTATTTATGATCGCATTGTCCGATAGGTGAGTACAGGTAACCAAACACAATCAAATGTTTTGTGATAGTCTGGTTGACCAGCGATTCATATCTACAGATCACCGACTTTTCGACATTTACCGAGTTTCGTTGCGTTTTACTTTAGTTTGTATATATTATGTAAAATGTATTAAAAATAGCTCACAGAATATATCTGTAAATTAAGCGAAGTATGAATTGGAATTTTTTAACTTAAAATTTTTTTTATGGCTCCAATCAATTTAAATATATTATAAATATTAACTATTTTAATACATTGCAGTAAAGAAGAAGACGGTAGAAATGATTAAAGGTAATAAGACTTTCTTCGCCTAGACAGACACTTAGCATTTATAGCTATAAATATAATTTGATACGGTCGAGCTTGCTGATTCAGGGTTACCTGTTACAAAATATTATTACTATTAAACAATAGTGTGCATATGTGATAAACTATTTTATCAACTGATTACATTTTAAAAGGTATATTTTTGTACTAAAAAATATAGTTTAATAATATTCAGCTAAACATACACAATTGTGATTAATTTTTTATGTCATTCTTTTATATTTGCTATTGTGTGTTTGTACACTAAATTAAAGTTAGTATTCCATTTGAATTCTTATTTTAAAAATCACAAAATAGTACATGTTTTCAAAACATATTACATTTTAAATTATAATCTGATTATCTGATTATAGTTATTATCTGATTTGAATATTCCTAAAAATGCTTCTGTATAGAGCACTAACAAAAACTTTTGAACAGTATGTTATTAAAAAGTCGTTTAACATTTTTGGGTTTAAAATATTATTTACTTAAATAATATCCCAAAAAATATAGAGGTTCCGGTTTAAATTTAAAAAGTTACAATAAGTTAAAACTACTGGTAAGATTTAAGAGTTAAGCGTTATAAAATAACACCTAACATCTAAAAGTCAAAAAAACTTATAGTGTCTCAAAAATTGTCCTTTGTCTAACATTTTGAACTAACTTACAATGTTTATTGGCACAATAAAATTTAAATATAATACCAAAAATATATATTTTAACATTGTGTATTTAAGAAAGTGACCTAAGGCGTGAAATGATTGCTATAATTTTAAAAATTTGACGTTTCGTTGAGTATTGCTTAAGGTAATAATAATCTTTCTATACGTCTTAAGTTTAAACTTTAATCCTAGAATAATATAAAAAATATAATATTTGAGGCAATGAAACTCTTTAAAAAAAAAATGGTTTTAACAGAAGATATTTAATGCCAACTTAAGTGTCTTGTAAAGAATAACTACATAAAGTACAAAATCAATAAAATGTTTTTAATTTTGGTAGTGAAACTTACCTGTTGAAATGGAAAGTTCATAATTTTGGTTGCTGATGAACTTATATAGCTATACAGTGTGTAATTTATGATGATATTATGGATTCACTGATGTATGTTTAAAACACAAATAGTACTATTCTGATACTCTGGTTCCTTTTATACATTTTTCCTTAAATTTAATTTAGTGTATATTTTATGTCAGTTGTTTTTTTTATCATTGATTGTAATCTTAATTTTTACATAAAATTTACATTCATTATTTCTTTTACCGACTGGTCAACAAACATTTCAAATAACAATGGAAAAAAAAATACGTCGGCCAGCGGTCCTCTGCAAGTAAAACAAATGAACACAACAAATAACCTCCGACAACTTAATCAACACAAGTATTGATAATAATATTAACATGGAAATCGAACAAACTAGTGATTCACTAGATCCAAAAAAACCAACCCCCCCCACCAATATTCATAAATCATATTTAAAGATTAAGGCTTTTGCGGAGCTGTTCAAAAGACAGTCGTTTCGAAGGAGTTTAGTTGTAAAAGCATTATTAAAGGCTTAAACTACAAACCAACTTATCAGACGACTACCGTAAAATTGTGAGTGTATTTATAAAAGAAAATGTTGATTTTCATACTTTCCAAATGCAACAAGACAAACCGTTTACAGTGGTTTTTCGAGACCTACATCATACCACTCCGATTGACGATATAAAACAAGAGTTATCATTTCTTGGTTTCAACGCTCTACAAGTAGTAAATGTACTATAGGGTCGAACTAAATTACCACTGCGGCACTACCCTTATTCTTTATCGACTTAGAACCAAGCGAGCATAACACTAATATTTTTTTAATTAAGCTACATTTGTTATACCAAAAAAAACTTGAAACTGTTTTTTTAATTAACGTTAGAAATCAGCGTGTTATTGAAAATTTCCCAGTAGGGAATGTTTACATTTTTCTATTATACTTTTTTAGTTAATTGACAAGCTAATTCTAAAAAGACTGAGTTGGTAGTCATTTGTTTAAAAAAAAAACTATAATTTTAATGACCAAAAAAAATGTGTTAAAGAGTTTGTATTTTAGGTGAGTTCATT